AGGTGAAGATAATGAGTGGTTGGGACAGGCAGTTGTGGGATGGGATGCAACGGCGATGTATTTGGTGGTGGTGTTATTGGCAGCAAAGGTGGTGGTTGGTGCGTGTGCTGTGGTGTTGGCATGGTGGTGGACACTGTCGATGTGTGGTGTTTGACTAGTTGTGGTGTAGACATGGTGCGTGGTGGGTTGGTAGGTTCAAATTTGATTGGTGATGGTGATACTCGTGAGGTGGTGATGTTGTGTTGTTATTGTTGGTAGTGGTTGTGGCGATGACAGTAACGGGATGGGATGAAGAGTGCTTGTGATCAAAAAATTATGCGTGACTTAAAAAATTGTTAATTTGTGATCGATAATTTGATAATTTGTAATTGTATAATAAGTTGTGAGTTATTACGTTTGTGATTTGTGACCAATAAATAAATCGTGACTTATAAACTTTTGAATTGTGGCCGATGATCAAATTGTGACCTATAAAATTTTTGAATTGTGACCATAAAATAATTTGTGACATATAAAAATTTTGATTTGTGACCAAAAAATAATATGTGACTAATTAAATCGTTAATTTGTGATCAAATTACATAAATCTGTGATATTAATATATTTAATCAATAAAATATATAATTGATTAATTAAATCATAAATAAACTTTAATAGATATCTGATTTTTGAAATTTGAAACTTTTGTTCTTAGTTTTGAAATGGATGATTCTTAACCTTTAAGTTATGAAATTTTTCCCAAAAACAAAAAGCATTTGGGCCGTGTGTTGGGCCCAATGCCCGCACTGGACTCCATTGGGCTTCGCATTGTATTGCCGTTAGTAGTACCTAATAACAAAAAGAAATTAATATATTGTTGATCGCATTGTATTGCCGTTAGTAGTACCTAATAACAAAAAGAAATTAATATATTGTTGATCATACTGTCGTCTTTCCGCCACCACTACCTCTCTTTGCCATTCTTTCCATGTACTCAAAACAACTCCTTATAATTTCAGTGCAAATATAGAGGAGAGCAATTGAGGTGGAAATTTTTGGGAAGAAATTTGGGGAAGAGAGGATCTTTTGGCACTTCTACGTCTGGAGTCAAGGAAAAGAAGGAAAATAAATATTCAAATTGGTTGCTTGTATTGGGCCCTTTTAATTCGGTTGGGTCGGGTCTTAATCTCTCAAGATATGACTTTTTTAATTTATCAGTGCTTGATGAATCTACCCATTTCAAATGTTAAAATGTGAAATTTTTTATTAATTAAAGCCACCTCATTCTATCATAATGCATATCACTCACCATGTACAAATAGTTTTTTTCAATAACGTTATTCGTTAACTGTAATTTTTTTCTGCCTTAAACCATTTGTACAGTAAATGAATTCACAGAATAGCTACAAATGTGAGATATGGGAGTAAGCTTTACATGTTTAAAATATTGTCCAAAAATACCACCGACCCCCCGTGTTGTGTGTATTCTGTAGAAGTTTTGTAGACCATTTTTCTGTACATGTAGAATCTCTGTTCTTTTTATAGGATCTACTTATTAAAACTAGTCATTGTTCAATGTGCTATGGAAGTTATTTTTAGATTATTGGGTGTTTTATATATATTTCCCTACTATGATGAAAGATTCTTCTAAGACTAAAATAGAAGTTTACAATTAGGTGGGAAAAGAAAATAATTACATTAAGAATATATTTGATTGACATGGAAAATATCACCTAGAAAAGAAAATATTTTCCATCTTTTGTGGAAAATAAAAACCACATCTACCCAAGGAAAATATTTTCCTTAAAAATAAGGAAAATTAGGCATACTTTCAAAAGTTGGAAAATGTTTTTCATGGAAAAAAATAGCAATCAAAAAACACTCCAAATAGGAATTTGGATGAAAAACTGATGTTTTCCATTCCATGGAAAATAAATGTAATCAAACACAAGAGTCTGTTTAATTGTAAGAATGGAATTTGATTGGAAAGAAAGTGAATTCCAAGAAATTGAATTATCCAGAACTTATTTTACTATGAATTATTAATTAAATATGTTTGATTGGTATAATTTTTCACTTGAAAAATATTGAAATTTTGGATCTTTTGATATTCGTTTGATTTTGTTTTCCATGGAAATTGTAAATTAAAGGAATAGAATTTATTTCAATTGCAATAATAATAATAATAATAATAATAATAATAATAATAATAATAAAATCAGCAAACCTATGGGAAAATCAATTCCTCAAAAAGGTGGAAAAATGGGTCACGTGAACAATTGCCAAAAAAATTTGAACAATTTCCATGTTGTAATAACCTTCCTTGGAAATGTATGTCGGGTAAACCACTGGAAATGCAATCTTTTCCCCTTCTGTGAAAAAAAAAAAAAAAAATTGATGACCAACGTCGAGTGAGGTGGAAGTATGTCACAACGTATTATTTTCTGGTAGCCGATATTTATTGCTTAAAATTATCATTAAATTAAGTTTGATACTTCAAACGAGGCTGAAGGACGCAAGCTTGGGCTTGGCACGGACCCCATTGATTGGAACTGAATTTTCTAAATTCGATTCTTTTTTCTTTTATTTTCTCGAATTCACTTTTTATCATATTTTTTCAATAAAATAGACTAATTTTACAAGTAATATTGTATTTTTTTTTTATTTTATAAACACACATTCTCCCCAAATATTATAATTTTTACTAAGTCTTATCTCAAAAATCTACATCTAATAAGTCTTTAATCTTTTCTTTTCCTTTTATCTTCCTACGAGATATGGTCAATAGTCAGTTTATTCAGCTCTTGTTTGATCTCCTATTATTTTCAAAATACATTTTTCTCCCTTATTTTTAATCACGCATTTTCAATTAAATAATATTATACGTAAATTTAATTTTTTTCTTTATTTTTTAACAACACAATATCCATCAAAATATTATTTCAAAATTATTTTCGACAAAAAAGGGCTCAAATAGGCTCTAAAACTTGAGTTTTTTTTAGGGATAGCAATTCGAACTGTCAAAATCGAAAACCATGGTTAACCAAACCGAATGGGGCGAAAAAAATTGAACCGATGGTGCAATGGGGCGGGTATGGTATTTGATATTGTTGAACCACTATGGGGCGGGGCGGGTATGGTATTTACACCCTTGCCCCGAAACCGAACCGATTACCCGTAAAAAAATAATAATAATAATAATAATTGAGCAATTGGTTATTGGACTTTCCACTATTTTTATCCAACCCAAAATAAAATTCTGCCCAATACATTTACTATACCCAACCGTCCAGCCCAGCTGCCCACAGCCCAGTTACCATAACCCATAGTATTATACTATTATAGTAATAGAAATTATAGAAATATAGAATAATAGAATCGAGTAAGCCCAACTGCCCACAGCCCAGTTACCATAACCCATAGTATTAGACTATTATAGTAATAGAAATTATAGAAATATAGAATAATAGAAATTATAGAATCGGGTTCGGGACCTTCGGGTATATGAGAGTGTAATTGTGTAAACCCTACTCCTTACTTCACAAATCAGTGAAATCAGACACAGACCACACTCACGCAGCCAGCAACCACAGCTCCACGCCTGATGCCTCATCGCCTCCAGAGTCTAGACAGTTATCTTCACGACATCACCGGTTCACCCTACTACAAAAATGCACACAGCCACGAGCTTCACTGCTCCTGCCTCCGACAGTCCTACCACTATTTGAGGTAAATGAAATACTAAATCATCTTCTTCTGCTTTCGCTGTATTTGAGTTTATTGTATTTGAAGGAACTGAAGTGCACGCCCATGTTGAAGTATGGATTTAATTCACTGCATTAGTATTATGGGACATTGGGGAAAATAGGTTTTGCAAAGAAAGTGTTTGATGAAATGATTGAAAGAAGTTAGGCTTTGTTTTCTAAGTAGGTAATATAAATTGAGGACATGAAAGAATTATTGATAATGTTGACTGTGATGCAATTTGGTTGGATGTCTTTCAGCAACTTTATAGGTAGCACCATCAAAGAAACATTGGCTATAGAGTATCAATTCTCCTGTGACTACTGTTATCATACCAGCAACATTCTCCGTTGCACTAGAATATGAAAAACCAATTTTAAGATACAGAGAATTAATAATGTGTCCAAAGCAATTTGCAGACAATGCAACAAACAGTTAGGGGGTGAGTCGAAAAATGGGACATGTCATTTACATGCTCATTTAAATAGATGTCCTCTTCGAGGTCAGAAGGATGTCAAACAGATATTTTTGAATCAATTTAAAGAACCTGGTGGTAGGATTGCAATGGGAGCATTTAATTTTAATCAAGAGAAAGGTAGGACGGAACTTGCAAATATGATCATCCTACACGAATATCCTCTTTCAATGGTTGAGCATACTGGGTTTAGAAAGTTTTGTAATACAATTCAACCATTATTTAAAGTTGTTTCTCGTAATACCATCAAGGCTGATATCTTGAAAATTTATGATTATGAGAGAAAGAAAGTAATGGGCTTGTTAGAGAGGACCAATAGTAGAATCGCAGTCACCACTGATATGTGGACATCCAATCAAAAGAAGGGATTTATGGCTATCACTGCACATTACATAGATGATTCTTGAAGGCTTCAGAGCCGAATTTTGAGGTACAATAGTTTTATAAAATAGACTTTAAGCTACTATCGTATTTTCTGAAATTTTAAGTTATCTTACGAACTTTTTTTCATATCCATACAGATTTATATATGTCCTTTGTCCCCACACTGCTGAGTCACTATGTTAATGAATTGTCTATTTGATTGGAATATTGATCAGAAATTGTCTACATTGACTGTTGATAATTGCACCACGAATGACGCTATGATTAACATTATGTTAGATAAGCTTTCTCTTGGTTCTTTATTGTTGAATGGTGAATTTTTTCACTTGCAGTGTTGTGCACACATATTGAACCTGATAGTAAATGATGGTTTGGATGTCATTAGCCCGAGTGTTGAGAGAATTCGCGATAGTGTTTCATATTGGTCAGCAACACCAAAAAAAAGTTGAAACTTTTGAGGCAGTTGCACGACAAATGAAAATTCCTTGTGGAAAAAAGTTATTATTAGATTGCAAGACTCGATGGAACTCTACGTATCTAATAATTCATACTGCTTTGCTTTATAAAGAACTTTTTCCTCGACTAAGGCAAAGAGAGCCTCATTACAGAAGTGTACCGAGTGAGAGTGATTGGGAATTGGCTACAGAGATTTGTGATAAGTTGGAGATATTTTATGAAGCGACTGAATTATTTTCAGGAGCAAAATATCCTACTGCCAATTTGTACTTTCCCAATATTTGTGACATAAAGTTGGCAATCCGTGATTGGAGCACATCATCTTGCGATGAAGTCAAATGGATGGCGTCAAGCATGAAGGAAAAGTTTGATAAATATTGGAGTGGTATGCATGAAATTCTAGCTGTTGCAACTATATTGGATCCTAGATACAAGATGAAACTAGTTGAATACTATTTTCCTTTGATTTTTGGAGATGAAGCTCAGGAAGAGGGTGAAAAGGTTAGAGCATTTGGTCATAAGTTACTCAAAGAGTACAAAAGACCACATCGTTCGACAGAAAATACATCTTTGTTTCCATCATCTTCACAATCAGAGTCGTCTACTACTAGTGGAAAACATTCTTGCATGGCTGGTTTTGATACATTTGTTAGTCTTTCTGTTATTGCTGATCATGTAAAAACAGAGTTTGATGTTTTTCTAGATGAGCCAGTATTGCCTAGGGTGGACGGTTTTGATCTATTGACATGATGGAAAGCAAATTCAATAAAATATCCGACTTTGTAGAAGGTTGCAAGAGATTTATTAGCCATTCCAGTATCTACTGTTGCATCCGAGTCAGCATTTAGTACAAGTGGTAGATTTGTGAGCCCACATAGAAATAGGCTTCACCCGAAGACTTTAGAAGCTTTAATGTGTGCTCGAGATTGGCTTTGGTCTAATATTCATGGTAGGATTTATTTTTTTATGTTTGTTATTTATGCACTTTCTTTTATTACTAATTTTTTCTTCTTTTGTGTGTAGAAAATTCTACTCCTTCATCATATTCCGGAGCTTGTGCAAAGTTTGATGACGAGGATGTTGACGAAGAGGTACATTTTTTTGTTTAAATATTTAGTTAAAAATATTATGAATTATTGATTTATTACTCTACTTACATTTCTTATATACTATATAGGAATCAACTTTGAGTTTTGACGGATGCCAGTAAGGGTTGTAGAGAAGAATGAAGATTGAATATGAATTGAGGTTGAAGCTTTTTGAGTTATTGAATATTGTTTGTTAAATTTGGATTTTGTGTTTGAGAATTAGGATATTTTTTGCATCTTCATTTGGGATGTATTGTTGTTCGCTACATTAACTTAGTATCATGTTTTTGTTTTTATTTTAATTTGACGGATGGATCAATTAAAAATAATTTATTTTCGTGGTTATTAACGATCCGAACCGAGATACGAACCGAACCGACTTTCGTGGTTATGGTGCGGTTATGGTATGACCAAAAAATTGATGGTTTGGTGATGGTTTTGGACGAATCGACCCCGAACTCAACCGTTGCCATCTCTAATTTTTTTGTTTCTTCAGTAGTTGAGAGTTCAATAAATATATAATGACCATATAATATTGAATTTGATTGATTGGATCGAAGGATTACATGATTCTAATAATTGGTAATGTTGATTCGTTTCTCTCACGAGATTAATTTCTAAATTTAGTGGGATTTGATTGATAATGGTATGATATCACTACGATCTGGGACTAGTTTATAGGCTCCAACTTTGATATAGAATAAAAATTTATTTATTTCAGTCAAATATCTCAAATACACAAAGGTGGTAGCATTTATTCAGTAAAGCCCAGTTCGATTTGAATTAAAATCTCAAATAAAAGTCAACATTAATATTAACAATATATTTTATAAAATTCATAACTTTTCAACCACACTATTTCATTACTTTTTTTTTTTTATTAAAATCTACTAAAAATCCGATTTTAAAATGCACCAAACAGAGGTTAAAACCTTATTTTCATCAAATATATATCTGTCAAATGAACAAATTTCATGTACATTAACAACAAAACTTGATTCCACACTCACGTATCATTTTAACTCCACAATATATGCTTGTGATTTTCATTGTTCCAACAAGGAATAAGACCATGCTGATCATAGAATACATTTCTCTAAGAATAGTGCTATCTAGCACTAGTCTAGGTGGCTACACTTTATATCTTCAATTAAATGATTCATGTGACTTTACATTTAAATAAATTTATTCTTTAACGTCATGTAATTATCACTTAGACTGGTGCTTAACACCAGATGTAATGAATAGCATCACTCTATTTCTAAAAGAAGAATGGTTGAGCGCAAGAATGCTAACATCATTAACTTTCTATGACAGTTTAGCATGGCCTTTAATTCCAGTGCTATCAAGAGAATCGATAAAAGATGTCCTTCTTCACTAAATGAACAAAGACGAGTAGGCACCAATTTAGGATGGATTAAGGAAATGTCACCGTAAGTACAGTTAAGACACTTCCTCTTTCAGGGTAACATGATCTCATTGAATCATATTAGAAGATAGAAAGGGTAGGCAAAACTACAATGGCACATTGTAGTTGCTAAGAATTTAACTAACTAATTGTATCTATAAGTAACATAGCAATGCCATGATAAAGTTATTCTAATAAACTTCTGTTAAGGGTATTGGTACAATTGAAATCAGAAGATGAAAACTTAGAAGCTCGTTTCATCACAATATATGAGGCTGAAATAAAATTAGGTCAGGGTACAATTACCAATTCTAAAGCTCAAACTCGCAACACAAAGAAGCAAATCACAGATTTACGACCGTGCAAATATTTCATAACAGAATAAAAGTAGCAGTCTTTTTAGATCAATCTCATATCATTACATGAGGAAAGGATGAAAAGAATCACCTCTTTGCTTCCCATGAAATCACTATTATAAAAGACAACAATTTAAGCGAATATATGTGATCAATCTCTTAACAATTTAATCTTGGCCCTTGTTTGAGCCCC